GCTTGGAGTAGCGAGTATTTCAGTGTTGAGCTTCTTGCCCTAAATTAGCAGATCTTCTTCTTCTTCGTGATGCAAGGGCGATGCTTTTAGCTTGCTCACATCAATTCCATTTCACCTGCTGGTTCATCTTGAGTGAAAATCAGATTGAAGGGCTTTGCTGAGTCAGTTCCCAGATGTTCATTAAGAGATTGAGCTGGAAGGGGTGAATTTTATCACTTAGAGCCTTAGTCTGTATGTTTTTTTTTTCCATTTAGTCTAGCAAGTTTTGAATCAGGCCTGCAGTTAGTTCTCACTTGAAAATTTGTCTTTCATTTGATGTCACGCTCACAATTCCACTATCAGTATTTCTTCTTTGGCTAGTCATGGTTTTCCCATTCTTACTCTGTTATGTAGAGGTTTGTTTAAAAAATCTTGGTAAGTTTGGATTGTGCTATGAGAAAGCAAAACTATGAAGATTTCTGTCGGTTTCTGCCTTTTTCTTATGTTAATAGCATTTGATTTGTTGAGAGTGGCCCCTTTGTTAAAACCTGATAGCTTCCTTTATTTTTTCCTTCCCCTCTGGCATACTGAACTTGACACTTAGGTTAAAAAGTTACCCAAATTAAATTTCTATATCTGCATAAAAAATACTCAAATGGATGCAATTGTATATATATATATATATATGTATATATGCATATCTACCCATTTATCTATATTTTTTTCTTTTATAAAGAAGATAGGCAGGAGTAGTGTAGGGGTAACACTACTGACTGGAGTCCAGGACTTTGTTAACATTAAATCTGTACCAAAGTAGAGCACCCCAGTTTCTCTAAACATAGACTCTTTTAGCTAGGTACAAGGTTAAGTCATTCCACATTATGTCCTGATGTGCATCCCATTCCAACTATGCTTCCTGTAAATGGAAGAAGTCTTAGGTGCTAAGATATTAAAGGGTGATTAACAAAATACAGTTAGAATTAAGGTAGTCTGTAGCAGTATGTCTAATAGGTATAAGCAATAATATAATCCAAATAAATCCTTTATGTTTATTAGGAAAAAAAAATCTCTGTTAGATTTGTCAGTTTTGAAGCTTGGTGATTTTGAATTTGAGTCACAAGACAACTTGTCATTCATATATCTTTTTTTCTGAATGCTCGTAGTAGGATTCAAACATATACCAGCCTTCAGTAGTACCACTCTTTAGACATCAGTGCCTTACGCTTGCTTAACAGTCCGTGAGCATGGAATTCTATGTGTATAAATAATGTGAGATTGGCCCATCTTAACACTAGCAACGTCCTCATTTCAGGTTCAAATGTGAGCTGCGTTCAGGTGTGAAGGGAGAAATACCTCTAATCTCCCTTTATACTTCCTCTGCAGGCAGCCAAGGGTTGAGTCAGCCCTTGGAGCGAATGAGAGTAGCCAGAGGGCTGCGTTACTTTGTGCTGTCGCCAGCGCCAGTGGTTCTTGGCCAGGATCACTAGCGCAGTCTGCGTGCAGCCCTTATCTAAGCAAGCTTTGACCCAGCCAGCCCAGCCAGGCCTCCCAGTCAGCTGTAAGGCTGCTCTCGCAAGAGAAAATAGGGTGTGAGGTAGGTTAAAGACCTAACCTATATAGATGCATTGAAGTACAGCTTCTACATATGTTTGAATTTCTCAGTCGTCAGAATCTTCAGTTCTGATCCCTTGGAGATATAGGTGCATTATGATACCAAGGAAGAACTTCTTTCCTGTGAGGGTGACAGAGCCCTGGAACAGGCTGCCCGGAGAGGCTGCGGAGTCTCCTTCTCTGGAGATCTTCCAAACCTGCCTGGACGCCACCCTGTGCCTTGTGCTCTAGGTGTTCCTGCTGGAGCAGGGGGGTTGGACTAGATGATCTCCAGAGATCCTTTCCAACCTCAACCATTCTGTGATTCTGTGAGTAAAGTCAGTTTAAAAGGTTTTCGTTTTTCTTGCCTGCTGCCCCAAGTTTTCATCACTTTGCAGTTTTTTCAGCTCATCTGATTGCAAGGCAGCTTCTTAGTGTGGATTGGTGATATGATCCAAGTTACACACATTCATATTTTAAAGGCTTGTTTCCTTCTTGTTGTTGTAACCTGGATCGTATAACAGCTTTCTAATCCGACACTTCCAGATGTTTACACTTATGTAACTGCGAAGGCAATGAAATGTGCTGAAAGGGCAGAAAGGAGCAAAGGTGGCAGAAGGAAGAGCTGAAATGCATTTCCAGCTAAGAGCTAATTTAAGCATAAGGGAAACCTTCAATGTCATATGAAATAACCTGTGTTTCTCAGATGCCTGAAGAGACTGCAAAGTGCGTCAGGCACCTGTTCATAAGCATTCCAAAATTAGAGGCATCTTCCAAACTATTGCAGTCCAGACAGCTGTTTTTAATTAGATATTTTGTCAAAAATATTGTGAAGTTTTCTTGATTAGGTACTGCCGTGTGATATTTAGAGGCTAGCTAAATCAGCACCAGCTTTTGCCTTGGAGCACCATTTCTAAATCTGCATAGTGAGTAGTTTAATGGCACGTGCTTGCTGCAGATCCCCAAGTCCTGTCTACATGGCCTGTTAGATCCCTGTGAGGATGTTTTTGCAGAGTGAGGTGATTCATATCCTGTAATAATTCTGCTCTCAAATCTGGATTATTCTGTAGGGTTTGTTGGGGTCCTCTTTGGTCAGGGCCTTCTGAACCAAAGGCTTCCTTTCCCCTCTCAGTGCTAGAAGTTACACGATGAAGAGTCTAAGGTTCACAGGCAGAGGCTGGTGGGAGTATGAACTTTGGTTCATGAGGAAGTTCTCTCCAGGTAAGGAAGGGTGGGGTGAAATAACACACTTATCCCCCTTTGATCCTAATGATTTGTTAGCTCCAGCCATGCCAAGTCAAGGGGCGCTTGACAGATAGTAGGGGATGCAGCACAGAGTAGCTGCCAGGCTCTAGATTGCAACTGATGAACCCAAAGTAAGCAGAAGTAGCCAGAAAGAGCTAAATCTTCCTGTTGTGGTGGTGGGTCCCTGCAGGCCTGCTGAAGTTGTGCTGATGCTCAGCAGCAAAGAAGGTAGTCCTGAGTGTGCCAGCTGTGAGGACTAGCCCAAGCTGCTCTGTGATCCAGGGTCTGCTTATCAGCCTTGGTCTGAAGAAAGGTACCTGCTAATGGGTTTGGGGCAAGTTTTGATTTCCCAAGCCCAAGACGGTGCTAATTGCCAGTAATGGCTGGAATTCTGTTCAGTGCTCATGTGAGCAAACCCGTGAGAGGCAGGGTATTTTTTCTGCTTTGTCATTCTCTGCATGGCAGATTGCCTGAAAGGACTAGGGAGAGGGCCCAAGCATTAACAGCCCGGCCACAAAACTCTTTCAAGTTTCTGCCAAAGGTTATGGCTGCCTACAGGTTTTGAGGCTATGAGTGTCTAACAGAGGTCTACCTGTAGATAATTAGAGATATTTATATAAATGTCTATGTTGTGTAACTGCTAGATCTTTATCTAGTTGAAGATACATTTTTATATGAACATTCCTGAGGTTGTTGAAACTTGTTACAGGAATAAAGGCTGAGGCTTCAGCTGCTTTAGGTAGCCACAGGAGTGTAGCTTTGGTAATGTATTGAAAAAAGTGATTCCTTCCTTGTGCAGATGGCGTCCTGTGTTCAAAACCTCTGATCTTGCTTATCCTGGGGCGGAGTGCGTGTGTATGGGAGGTCTGGGGGGATATCTATATACCTGGATTCATGTAGACTTCTCACAAGCTGGGATAGGCTTAGAATGACATGTCCCTAATACTGCTGTGTAATTATTGAATAACTGTTTTGATCTTTGGAACTCTCTACCAACACCAGCAAATTACTTTCCCTAGTGACTTTGTGAGCTAGAGGAATTTTATCAACCCGTTTCAGAGAGGGAAACAGAGACAATGGGGTTACAGAGCAGTTTTCAGTGGCTCTGCCCCTTTGCATTTGTGTGTGCGTGTGTGGGAATGCTTTATGGATTCGTGGGCTCATTGCCCTAGGGATGTGGGCACGGTCAGGGTAGCTGTTGGTCTGAGTAGGTCCATGTGTCAGTCAGCATTTGCTCAATTAATGCTGGTTGTGCACTGCAAAATATGTATATGATAAAGTACAAACAAGGGGGTACTGACCCATGTATTGGGAGTTAAGCATAATGTAACTCAGGGTTATGTGGAGGAAGGCAAAGCTGTTCCTGGCTTCCAGTCATGTGTTAGATATTCTTTTCTTTCTGTGCCATGTCAAATCAAGTGTAACCAGAACTGGAGGTGTTATGTTTTTCTTTCTGCTTAAATATATTTTGCCTTTTCGTTAGGACATATGTATATATTTCACCAGTATGCCCAGTGAAGAAGCACAGATCTTTCTCAAAATAAAAATTGTTTAGGCAATTGAAGAGTATGAGCAATACCTTGTGGCAGAAAAAAAAATACATTTTTTTTTTCATAAAAAACACATTTTATCATTTCAGTGAATCAACCTGAGTGAAGTGTTTCTAGGGAACCAACTGAAAGAGAAACATCAAAAGTTTTCATTGGTTTTAAAAGATATTAGATTGGAAAAAAAAGTGACAGAACAACAATGTAAAAAAATCATTTTCTGGATGACAAAAGTAAAAATCTTAACCTTCTTTTAAGACTGAATCTTCAAGCTTAACCGCAGCAAATCCGATTTCCTTGCCTCATTCCAAGCATATTGTTGGATTGGCAAAACGTCCTGAAATCCTTGCCAGTCCTCGTAGGGGATTTCTTTAAAGAGAAAAATATACCAAGTCATCCTAACGTTGCAAATGACTCATCAGTTGCCCGAGGAAACGCTGCCCAGACGGCCTGCCGCCTAGGAGGAAGAGCGCGAGTGCGAAGGCCACTCCCCCACCAATCTCCCTGGGGAGCGCAGCCTTCATAAGGGACCTTCTCTCACCTCCCTTCCGCAGGGAACACACAGAAGCTGCAAGAGGCGCCCTGCGAGGTAGCCCCCGCAGCCACCCAGTCGGTGGTGGTGGTTGGAGAAGAGAAGCCAACAGGAGATCATGCAAAGACTTTAAAGGTAAGGGGGAAGATACCTTTTATTTTTAACTCTGTAATTTGGTTTTGACATGAAGGGTAAGAATGTAGACTCTCTTTTACAAACTGTGGGAGCAGGAAGGAGGAGACCCATTCTCAGGATGGGGTCATAGCCCTGGTTCACAGGCGCTGAACAAGTTTCCCCCGTTAAATGGGAGGCAGAGCTGCGCAAGACCCGTGCTGCTTTGGGTACGTTTTTAGGAGATGGCATCAGAGGAGAGGTTATAATCTACTTAGTGTGGTCTAAAACTGGTAATGCATTTCCGTGAAGAGTGAGTATACTGAACTAATGAAGATGAACCAGATAGGAGGGAACTGTAGACAGAGCTGCATGTGCATCATGAAGCTGCTGCTATTGGTAGTTGCATCTGCTGGCTGTGCAGCAGCTAACTTGCGCCCACCCTTCTACTTCATGCTGGCCTGTTGTCACTAGGCGAACCAGAAGAGAATAGCAGTTTTGGAATAGTTTTGGAAAGTAACAGGATGCTTTCTCTGGGTTATATCCATAAATATGAATAAAGTGAAACTATGTATCTTAGTACAGTAAGTGTTTCTTTTTCAGACTCTTTTTTGTTTGCAGGAGGAGCCTGGCCAGTGGCCATGATGCAAAAAGCAGAACTGAGCACTAACTTAGGTTCAGTGGTAGGGGTCTATCACTGGGGTTACAGAGGGGAAAGAGAAGAGGAAGGAAGACTTGAGCTATTTCTGGCTGTGCTCACAACAACCACAGATGTTTTCTAGGTTTCATTTGTGCAATGAACATGCTATCCAAGATTATGAAAGACTAATACAAGTGTAGCTTTCTACCAACAGCGGCACAGTCTGACCTTCTGCTGAGATTGCTCTGTAATTTGATGGAGTGGGAGCGGATGGAGTGGGAGCAGTGATGGGGCCACAGTGGCATCAGTGCCTAGTGTAGACACAATTAAGCAATGGGATAATTTAACCCAAGAGGAGGGAAGCAGTAGAATGCATTGAGCACAAATGCAAAATGAAAGTAAGCTCAAAACAGAGAGAGAGCTCAATTGGCTTATTTAATTTTATTTACCATAACTGTCTCCAGTAGTACTGAATCAAGTGCTTAATCAAACAGATAGAAACACATGAATAAAAGTGACTGGATTTGTGAAGTGACTAGTTGCTTTTTATTTACTTTTTATTGCTTTTTGGTTTTTAATTTTGTTTTTTATATACCTTTTAGTTTTTTTAAAAAATATTGTTACCTCAGTTGATACTCACTGATTTATATCAGCAGAGGAATCTGCACTTCAGTCACTCCAAACATTGTCCCACAATTTGGGAGGCACTGAGAATTTTGCCAGACCTTGATCAAGGTCTGAAGCCTGGATAAACTGGAGTTCCACAAAGTGGATAAAAAAGACTGATCTTAGAAAGGCTATCTGAAGATGAATAGGATTAATAGGGTGCTTTGTAGCATACAGCTATCAAAATGCATCTCAGGACTTTGGGGGAGATGATAAGGTTAGATACAATGGTAAACCAAAGTAAAAACACACAAAGGCAGGTGACAAAGTGTATTTTTTTAGAAATTTTCATTCAGTTCTGTTCATTTGCGAGACTGGTAATTGCAAGTTATTACAGTGGTACATGTGTTGCTGTATTTTCCTACTAATATATGCAGCAAAAAACACTAATTAGGAAAAGCCAGAGCAGATTAAAAGAATAAAATAAATGAATGGCATGCCTGTGTCAACATGTATGTATTTCATCCTAAGTACGTTATGAAGAGGCAGTGAAGATGTGGTGACGTGGAAAGCCAGGCTGTGCAAGGAAACTCAAGCTACCAAAGAACAAGAAAGTTCATAATTTGGTATAATAGGTACTGAGATATCCAAGAAAGAATTAAGAAGATGAAGGCTGAAGATGCAAATTAAGAGCAGAGCTCAGGAAACCCAGATGCACCTATATTCCCTTGTCACAATATTTGCTACTGAAAATACTCATTTCTGAGCACCATGGGTAATGTCTTAATGTTTCCTCACCCCCTTTTTTTGCTCTTTCCAGGCACATAAAGAGGGCGACCTTCAGAAGCTGTTGGAAATGAATGGCCAGGTGCCCCATGCCTATGACTATGACCTCATTGTCATTGGTGGGGGCTCAGGTGGCCTGGCTGCTGCCAAGGTATGAGAAAAATAATTTAGGATTTTCTTGTAAGTAGGCAAGTGACGTCCTGAATCAGCTTGGATCTGTAGGGACGTCACATTTACTAAAAGCAGCAGTTCTTTTGAAGTTAACCCCAATAATATTCATTTCCATATGTTCTGAAGAAGAAAAGTAAAAATATCACGGGATGCATCTCAATAAAGTAAAACTTGGTTTCCCTGTGTCCCCACTAGTGGGAGATGATGTTGTTAGAAAGCAGCACGGAGATACCTCAAAAATGGCTTTTATTAGTAGTTAAAATAAAATTTAAACTCAACTAATAATTGAAAAAGCTTTAAAAACTTTTTCCAAATGAACATCAAAGGGTTTTTAGTTTTGTGGGATGTTAATACATTCTCAGAAATAATTGTATATATTGTTTTCATTTCTGACAGTGCTTTTCGTTTGGAGAGATTTTATGTAATTTGTGAGCCTACACAGCTACATAAATGAAGGCTTTGCCTCTAATTTCAGTAGAGGCTCCTACTCACCCTTAATTTCTAGGTTCTAGTACTTCCTGCCTGCAGCCAGGTAATTTGTGACTTTGGCTGAGCTATTCCTTTTAGAAACATAGTTAGAATTGATTGAAGAATCTGAAGTAGTGCAGAAAGTACCTACTCCAACTCTTAGAATTGTCATTGTTCCAAATAATTGAAATTTACTGAAATTTAGTGTGATTCAGTAACTCTTCCTTACATCTATAGTTAGGTACATTTTACCTTTTCTTGCTGTAGCAGTATTATCTATTTAGAAGTGAATTGTGAATTCCCAGGAAATTGCAATTATTTCATTGATCAAGAGCTGAAACTGGATTGTTTCTTCAGACAGGAGACATTTTCTTGAGAAACGAGGGAGGTAAATCAGGGATGAGACAAAATGAGGAGAAAATATTACATTGTATTGTACTGGATTTAAACCCTGAACCTTTGGAAGAACTTTGTTTTAATGGCAGAGTGCAGAACTGGGAAGTAGTTTGTAATGTGAATTAAGTCCATGACCTATTCTGGTAGGTTTATGGTCTCCCATTAATAGGGGCACTATTGCAATGGCCTGGGATAAAAGATAAAATCTAGAAAAATTAGGAGAACCCACAAAGATGAGTAGACACAAATTTTGAGGTAATGAGGATGTTTAAAGACAAAAGAGAGCAACAAGAGTAGAAGAGAGTAACAGCTTGCAGTAATGGTATTAAGGAAACCGCTTTGCTTTAGTGTATACATACGTTAGGCTGTGAGGCTACAGCAGTGGTGGTAACTGTGTCATTTCTCTTATGTGGGTCAGAAAATGTGTGAAGCTAGGAAGATAAATTGCCTTATTCCTTCAGTTTAGTTTAGAAACACCACAAGAACAGAGCAGAGGGTGGTAGATCAATAAAATCAGCATCACTATCAGTAGTAATGTGTCTATTTTAAGTCAGTTTCATTAAGTGAAATTGTCTTACCTATAAACTTCTAACTCATTTTAGTTTTAAGTGAATTGACAGCTTTAAAGGCAAAGCAAAACGAAACTCCAGTCACACATGGGCATAAGGGCTGCCTTGCCTCGTGAGGCACACAGCTTTGCATCAGACAGCTTCCATTTCCCCTCTGTCTGTGCTCTGTGAAGTTGTTATTTTCTGGGCATGTCTGCACAGTGAGTGCAAGCACATCCAAACTGACATCCAAACCTGACCACAGCGCCAGATCAAAGCACCCGGCCACTGATATCAGCTCACACAGAACAGCTCCAGCCCCAACAGTCTCCTTGTCTTCACGCAGCACTGACCTGAATGCAGGAAGGTTTGAAAGCCTGTGGGACAGGGCTTTTTAGAGAGGGTGTCTCATTGTGTGGAGGCTGATTATATCTGTTGGTGATCTTTCCTCGTGAGAATGTCCATACGCTGCTGCACTGTATTATGTGAACATGTAGCATCTCAGGACCAGCGTGAGCTGGGAGCCTGCGAGTGCTCCCTAGTCAGCTAACTCTGGTGAAGCTCTTCTGGTGCCTGTGTAAGAAGTGGCACGTGAGGGAACACACACCTCAGACCACGGGTGCCTCTCTGTGGAGCTGTCTCAGAGGTTCTGCTAATGCATATAAATGAGCTTCTCGGCCCACCTTGAACTCGAACTGGAAGCAGAAACCCAGTAGATTATTAGTTTTCAAAGTTATCCATGGTCTGCGTTGTTTGTAATACATGATTTATGCTTTGCATAAAATAAGATATATTTAAAATGGAAATTTTTATTGTTAACTATTTCGATTAGCAAATATTACTAGTAATATACTGCTAAAGGCTGTTGGCTCTTCCCAAACCAACCCCAAGGCCTTAGGGTAATAGCCTGTGCCTGCAGTTTTAATTGCTTACGTCTCTAAGGAACTCACCCTGTGATACAACACAGTTAAGGTTACTCCAAGTGTCAAAGTTACTTCTCGACATTTCACTCGGGATTTGTTGTTGTGCTTTCCCGGCTGTGTAGTGTTTACCTAAGTGACTTTCTCAGATACCAGTTTATTGCCAGTGATTTTTGCCTTTCTCTCAAAAAGTGCACAGGGAATAATGGACCCAGTATAGAAATTCCAGGTCTCTGTATCATGTATACACACTGCCATCAATAGAATTGGTAATTAATCTTAGGGGAAATGTTTTGAAATAAGCCTTCACTTTCCTGGTAATGATGACATCTGCACATCCTGACAGTCAAGGCAGCTTATCACAGGCTGGCTAGTCTGAAGAGCAAGAGTTAGTCCTGACACATACAGGCTGAACTCGAAATTGAGCATTCCTTCATACTGCCAGGAGAAAGACTGGATAAAGACAGTTGTAGTGCTTGGCCACATGACTGCTTGTGTCACTGCATGATGTGGTTTCAAACAAATGTCCCAGACACTATTTTTGAAAGGAAAATTGGATAAATAAAGAGTTTGTTAAATATATTGAACGTAAATGGTATGTTTGGAAATGTTATAAATAAAACAACAGGATGGAGAAGAGGTTTGATTCCCTGTCAGAGTCCTCTGCGTAACAGCAGCTGTGCTGCTTGAGAAGCAGGGTGAATGCCTGTTTTTGCCGTTTTTTCCCTTTCATCTTTTTTTTTTCCTACTGAGTGAACAGATTAATTCTGAAGATTAATGACTGTATGGCTGTGCCCTTGCAAATCATTCGTTATTACTTAATTAAAAGTCATGAAGCTTTTCAGCAGTGCATGATGTTATCATCTACTCCATTTACCCTCTAATATTTAAATACATGTCTTATTTAATTTGTTTTGCAGGAGGCTGCCAAATATGACAAGAAAGTGATGGTGCTGGACTTTGTCACACCTACACCTCTGGGAACATCATGGGGTAAATTTCTCTCCACTGCAAATCTGTTATAAAGGACCATTATTTACTAGGAAACTCTGATTCTCCTTTGGGACCAGGCACACTTATGTGGAGCACACAATCTGTTCCGTTCTCTTAGGTCTTGGAGGAACTTGTGTGAATGTGGGCTGCATACCTAAAAAATTGATGCACCAGGCAGCTTTACTGGGACAAGCCTTACAAGATGCACGGAAATTTGGATGGCAGTTTACAGAAGAAGGTACAGAAAGATAACTTTTTTTTCCTGTTTTGTCATTTGTATGAAAAATCCAAGGTTGTTTTTCACAGTCAAGTGCTTGATGCACTTAAGCATGTTCCAATTTTAACAAAGCAAGGCAGTTTCAGAGAGACTATACATAAACTTAAGTGCTTTTTAGATTTAAAGATTTACAGGTCACAGTGCTTTCTGGTTTGCAGCATTTGATCTGTTTTTAATAATTTACGATGATTCCAATATTTGATAAAACTGGTGTGGATAAAACCAACAAAATATTACTTCATTTCTGAATGTAACCCTATATTCCCTATACACTCCTGCAACCCAGTACATTCTCTGTTAGAAACTTTCTTACCATTGCAAACAATGATTTCCTTTCCCTCAGTTTCCCTCACTACTACATAGACAGATTAATTTGCTTTATTTTAGCACTGATGCGCATGTTTACAGGGTTGGGATTTATTTTGTATGTAATTCTGTAGAGGGAAACATGCAGAAGCACCTCTCAGAGATGCATAATCTTCATTTGTTGAGCAATGACAACCGATCACAGCATTTGTCCATAGGACAATATTGATAAAGGGATGCATCTAAGTGATTCATTTTCAAAGACTATGGCTATCCTAATAAAAGAAAAAAAATATCTTTAGTGGCTGGCAAAACTATACGCTGCTTTTTAGTTGTATGTTCTTATTT